TTAAAAATTCCAAAATGTACAGTATCCAAATATTAATTAAAAAATTCAAAAATTAAAACATCCAACAATTAAAAAATCCAAAAGTTAAAAATTCCAAAATTTAATATATCCAAATATTAATTATAAAATTCTAAAATTAAAAAATCCAACTATTAAAAAATCCAAAAATTAAAAATTCCAAAATTTAATCTATCCAAATATTTATTAAAATATTCAAAAATTAAAAAATCCAAATATTAAAAATTCCAAAATTTAAAGTATCCAAGTATTAATTAAAAAATTCAAAAATTAAAACATCCAACAATTAAAAAATCCACAAATTAAAAATTCCAAAATTTAAAATATCCAAATATTAATTAAAAAATTCAAAAATTAAAAAATCCAACATTAAAAAAATTCAAAAATTAAAAAATCCAAAAATTAAAAATTCCAAAATTTAAAATATTCAAATATTAATTAAAAAATTCAAAAATTAAAAAATCCAACCATTAAAAAATCCAACAATTAAAAAATCCAAAATTTAATTAAAAAATTCAAAAATTAAAAATCCAACATTTAAAAATTCCAAAAATTAAAAAATCCAAAAATTTAAAATTCCAAAATTTAATTAAAAGATTCAAAAATTAAAAAATCCAACAATTAAAAGATCCAAAAATTAAAAAATCCAAAAATACTACTACTTACTACCACTACTACTACCACTACCACTACCACTACTACTACTACTACTACTACTACTAAAGGAAATATTTGTAAATAAAATGATATACTACTGAAGCTTTTTGGAATACATCCGGAATTGTTGTAGTAATTCAATAAAATTTAATAGTTTTCATTAGTCTGAATAACCTACCTTCTCCTTTTTAACAACACGGAAACTTTTGTCTGATACTTTGTCCCCTTCGTTTTCAATAGCTCGCGTTTTGTCTATCTTGGGCTTTTTCGCGTTTTTGCAAGAAGCTTCCTGTAAAAAATGATACACAATTTAGCAGTATTCCCGTTTCATCCAGGATATATACAGCTACAAAATAAGAAACGTAATACTGTATCGTTAAACGAAAAAAAGAGCCGCCAGGGACGCTCCGGTTTCATTTGCAAAGAGCTTTACTTTTATTACCTGTTGTGGATATTAGGGGATTAATTAGCGAACGGCACTAACGGGAATTCAATTACATCCGTTTTGTATGATTAAAGATTAATTCTCCTGGTGCCTCGCGAATAGAGAATATCGCCAATCGAATAATGGGACAACGGTGGCTTGTAAATGCGCTTTCCGACAGCGTATAATCCGGCAGAAGCGATAGCGTCGCTTGTATACGTTATTCTTTCAATTGTGTCCGATATTGTAACAATAAAGGCCACAGCTAAAAGAAGTGATTAAACTAATAATCTAATAAATTCCCTCATCATTGTCTGTATATGTACACCACTGAAACAAAGTTGTAGTGGCAACTATATGGTCGGGATTGATCTGTCCCTTATTACAAGTAAACCATTCTTTGTTAAATTTTGCTGGCATCATTATTAAAATTCGAGAATTATTGGTAAAAATGATCGATTTTAAAGAAAAATTACAAAACAGACTTCACAGTCCATAAAAAAAGTTTTTTATCGGCAGGCACATATTCTTTGCGCCGCATCTTTTATTACAGCCGATCGTGGAGCGAGCGAACTTTCGAAACCTACAGTAAATTAAGCATTCGCCCTCTAAGGCGACGGGAAATAATCGCCAAAATCTATTAGCGGGCTCCCGAAATGGATGGCCTATCCGATAAACCAACCGGCACAGAACTGTCAATGTAAATCCAGCCGAGCCTGCGGTGGCGGTGGGCTGGGGGGGCGACAGTGATAAATACCGGTGTTTTATCGGATCGGCGGCGAATGGGCGGCGAGCATTATGTGTCATGAATAAGTTATGCGTTCACATCGGTCGCAGCAAAGTGCATGCACGCCGATATCGGGCGGCGATAACGCACCCGGGACGGACGGACAGACGGCCGGACCGCGGCTGCGGTGTCGATAATGAATTGCGATTCGCGACTGTGCGCTCTCCGGTCATGTGCACTTGTCGCCCGGACTGATGCGCCGGGGTTTTAATTTATAATAGTCCAGTCGACAGAGGCCCGAAAGAAACGTGATTGTGGTCATTTTCCACCCCAAAATTTCGGCTGCAAATAGAACAACGATTTAAGTCGCAAGAAATGCTTTTTTATTTGTTTTTATCTAATATATCTTAACGTTTGCTTCCTAACAGTAATTAAAGAGTAGCTACTTCATAAATCAAGTAAGCTATAAAATTATAGAATCTTTGATACAAGACGACGTTATCTAGCATTCAAATAAATGAGCATCATCTATCGTTTGCTTCAACATTCTACACGCAAGCGAGCGAGATTATTCTGCCATTGACAGTGTGGGTGAATAACTAATTAGTCAGACAAGTGCAGTTTCATATTAGTTTCGGGTTTCAGCATTTTCAGGCGTTTCTGTACAGGAGATGACTATGTCAGCCGCTGATTGCCACCAAAATAATTGATGAACGATGAGGATGCACATCCAGGATGAGGTAGAGCCATTTGCAGGATGATACAACAAAACTATTCACGGGACTTTAAAATATATCGTGATATTCGCGTTTGGTAAACATGGTGTACCGAAACTAAATATTACGCAAAAAAAGCAAAGCTAGAAACAAATTATTTTACCAAATGACACGATAACAATCACTGTCTAATCAATTTAAAACAAAAGACAATTTAATTCGTCAGTTACTGCTGATCCGTAATTTGGGGAGGGAGTGCAGTTTGGAAAACAGTAAAAACAACAGAAAATGAATCACAGTTGATTATGGCTAATACTGATAACGGACAATTCCAGTTATTTTTGCATAAAGCAAGGCAGAAATAAATTATTAATTCGCTTAAAGACCTACTACTTTTTTATGTATTATTAAAATTAGTAATTAATCTCAAAAATTTGTTAAAACGATCAAATATTGAATTAACATCCAACATCTAAGACCTTAAAATCGACCCTAACTAAATCAAAGACGTTTATTGTGGCCGTTCGTATACGTTGGTAGAAGCGCTGATGGCGTCCCCACGACAATAAAGACACCAAAACTTCCCCGGCAATATGCAAGTTTGCAGCCATTCCGCGCCATTTGATTTATGCAGTCCCCATTCCGCCACGTTAATTAATCACCGGGTCCCGCGAAGGCGCTGGTGACGCACGGGTAAATGGAAGCGCATAGCCGAACGTCAGTCGGCGGCGCTACCGGACGGACACTGATGCATTGCACGTCAGATGTTATCGCGCCTTATTCAGCCGCCCCAGCTGTGGATGCAGTTAATGGGACGCGGGTAAAACTGAACAATGCGGACGGGGGCGAGAGTCTCTACTGTGAGGACGGGGTAAAACAGTCGAAGTAATAAGTGATGATACGGAAACAACTACTCATTAAATACAGCTAGGATTATGCGTCGGCCGAGCCCACCAGACATATACCGGTTTCGGATTTGTTAGCCCTCGTCATTATACCACAGGTGCGACAACCGATGAACGATCCATCTGCTTAGATTCCTTAAATCCAGGAAAGAAGTACAAATGAAAAATGTAACGCTAACTGCCTGAGACCTACAAAGAGATCTTGCCGTATTTAATGGTATTGCTGGTGTAATTCATTGCTAGCCGGACCATATAGTCCGTAGAGTAGTTGTTTCTGGCAATACCATCGCTTAAAACTTTGCTTTTGACCTCACAGGGGTGACACTGGTCACTGTACCTGCAATACAGGTCGCTTTCTGCCATTTCTTGGCCTCTTTGTAGGTCTCGGGCGGTTAGCAGCATTGGCAACTAGATGTCGCTCTCAGTTACATCTTTTATTTGCAGTAGTAGTGAATATGAGTTTTTCATCAAAAAAATTACCAGAGAGGCAGAAAGAAAGAGACTGACCGACCGACCGTCCGACACAGACGTACAGACTAGTGCTGGCAAAAACCGGAAAAAAGTGAAACCGGTTAACCGACTATCCAAAAAATCGATTTCAGTTGCCAGCACTAGTACAGACGGAGAGAGAGGAGATCTTTATACATTTCGTACAAATAACAAATTCATTTCGTAGAACGAAATTTATGAACATAATTAGAAACATTGTTTGCAAAAGGAACTATTCTCAATTTTTTTAAACACACATGTATCAGTAATCCCCTAAATCGTTCACAAGTAGCGCAATGGTTTGTAAAGGAAAAAAGTTAAATGCCACAAAACCATACAAAATCTATAAATATAATGAAAAAAATATTTAACAAAAACTATTTGCTAAATTGAAAAATCTATGAATTGATTTACATTGATTCTTGAAAATGGCAGATCTAATAAAAATACACGGCAAAATACCCAAACCCTGTTAAAAAAATGTATCACATTACCTTGTCTTTGTCGATAATAATGATATTGCCATCATCATGAAGAATCACAATATTGTCCACCCTTGGATCAAATGTTATATTTCTAAAGGGATACGTCCTGAGTTTCCATTGCGTGAAAAAAAATTTTTGTAAGCGCCTTGAAAATGTGGAAAAAGCCCTTTTCTTAATATCGTATTCTACGATCTGAAAAAACATGGTTAATAATATAAAAAATTATTTAAAATTGTTAAATTTACACTATTATCGGAATAGGCCACCACCAAACAAGCTGTGTTAGGATGAATCGCCATAGCAGTAGGGGGATACTGATATTTAGGCAATTTACAGTGACTGTTCCATTTTTCATTTTTCCTAACCCACACCACGATGTTGCTACAAGGATCAGCCGCTACCAGATATTTACCACAGGCAGATACAGTCAAAAATGTTACGGTGTCCGACAAATCTGCAACAAAATAAAAAACTTATTGTGGATATATGTTCTAAGAAATACATAAGAAAAAAAATTATATACTCGAATAAATAAGGAATAATAAAATAACCTAGACTTTCCAAAGTTTGGCTTATCGACACTCTGTCATATTTTATGTCATATACAAACAATCCACCAGTGTTTGGTGCCGTTATAAACTGAGAATTACTTGGCGTAAAGGTTGCATTAACGCATGGCACCTCTTTGTTCTCTAGGTCGTCTACTTTCAAGAGACTTGGTTTTTCCTCCACCTGAAACATCAATTTTATAAAATAATGTGTAGTTAAATATCATTTATTTGTTCCGCTTATAAATAGAGAGAAAAAAATCAAATTGAAAAGCTCTAATTTAAAAAATGTTATAAATACAAAAAATAAAATAAACGTACTTACATAATCAAGCTGAAACAGCCTAACTCCCAAACTGGTACTAAATATAATCCACTTGCCGTTATTAGAAATACAAGAAAACAATACTCCTAGTTTTTCCTCATCCCCATCATAATCCTTAATAACTCTTTGCAAAACCAATAATTTTTTTGGTTCTTCTTTTAATGTAATGAGCCCCCTATAGTTGGAATCGGTGTTTTCGCTTCTTCCTAACGTCCAGACCTCGACGTGTTTGGAATATCTTAACATGAGACACCTCGCTTCCGTTGCTAAATGTACGCATGGACCTTGCAAGATGGGTGGCATTTTTAAAACTGTTTTTGGGGCGTGGCAACTGCCTGCCAAATAGCTGTCAGCTCCACCCGAGTAAAGTTTATTGTTACAGAAAATTAACGCGTTTACGTCGTGGTCGTGGATGTGTTTCTGGGTGCTTTTTACCCACTTCTGTGTGTCTCCTGAAATTGTAAATGAAGAAAATACAGAATCTTGTTCACAATATTAAAAAGTTATAACATATTTACAAGACACGCTATATAGGTATTTCTAAATAGAGTTATGCAATTTACTGAGCTTGGCGTTACATTTGACACAAGATTATCGTTTGACGAGCGTATTAGTTTTGTAACCACATTTGTTTTTAAAAATTTGGGCATTATTTTGCAAAATTCTAAAGTCATTCAGAGCATAAAGGTTTGTCTAAATTTTATATTTTGATTGCTCTATTTTGTGTAGTACTTATATTTTTATATTTAATGTTAGTTGTCTTTTTTTTTTAATTTAGTTAAGGTTTTCTGTTTTACCTAAATAAATAAATAAATAATTACCTTTAACGCTAACTTTCGCATAATTTATAATATTTGGATCAACGCCAGCACAACACAGACTATTTTCGTCTTCTGATAAAACCACGGATAGTATATCAGCTTGATGAGACTGATAACTTTCTAACTGGGCACCAATTTTACCATCCCAGAATGTTAACTTCCCCCTAGAATCGCCGCTAATTATTGTAAAATCACTGGTCACTTCTAAACACCAAACAATTGTGGGTTTATTGGCTTCCGATCTTCCTGTAGTCATTTTATGAATTGCATGTCCTAAAAAATAAACCAGAAAAATAGTATAATTTGTCACTTACATTTTATTTCGATAAAACAATCACCTGATTCTACATTCCATATTCTAATAGCGTCGATGCTGCCAGAAACGATAAACTCTCCACTTGTATCATACTTGAGACACATTATTCTACCTTCCTGTTTGTCTAAGAACTTTTCGAAACAAACTCCATCTTCCTCGATTGTAAAAATATTCAAATAACCCTGTTCTGTGCCGATGGCTATTTGAGACTTCGATGAATGAATATCTAAACAGAACGCAGCTTCACCAGTGACAGTTGATCTATTTCTTACAGCTAGTTTATACAAATCATATTCTATCAGAAGACCGTGAAGGCCTACACTAAATAATCGGTTGTTAAACCATTTTAAACTCTCGATACTGAAATTCTCAGATTCAGGGGCTATCGTTTTCTCTATAAACCACAGATTAGTTATATTCCATATTTCTATGCTTGCATCTACCCTAAAAATAAACGTTAGTACTTAGAACAGCTGTTTTAGTAAACATATATAGCTACCTAGACACAGCTAACTTTTTTGTGTCGGGTTGAAGTGCCATGCAACGAATTGCTCGTGGTTCAGACGTATAAAATCGTACATTGTGAATTTTAGTTGAAGACATTTCAAACTACATTAGAACGTAAAACTGATCTACCGGTATTTTGTAAAGTAAACAAACCATGCGAGAATTGAAGTTCTAACCTGCAAATAAAAATCACGTGTCAGTCCTGACAGAGAAGCAGACGTCAACTTTAGGTAAAATGGATGGTAAGGCTGGTTAGTAAAGACAAATACACTAAACGTGTAGGATACCAATAATTTCGTATGTTCATCGAAATTCGAAATGTAAAAGTTATTTTACTATTTGGATAACCTCTACATTTCTATTAAAAAGTACTTGTTATTACATAAAACTTTTGATTAATTGTTCTCATGTAGTATATCGGTTCGGAAACTTTAGTTTTATAGGTTGGCAACGTATGATGTGTATTGAATTGGTTGATTTCTGTATAGTATTGAATTATTCAATTTTATAATTTTTATTTCTACCTTATGATATTTACAAATAATTATAGTGAAAATGCCTATATTGATTAAAATGTAAGTACTTTTTTTACGTGTTTTATTTAAATAATAATGATACAAACAGAAATAGCATAAAGAAATAACCTAAAGAACATTCCCGCCAAAAGTTAAGGTTGCGTCACTGTGACTGGGTCTTCTCTTTTAGAGTCCAAGATTGGGGATTTGCGATTTTTAATGCAGTATTGCTAGATTTGTTTAATGGATTTTAATCTAAAAAATTGTAAATCTGAAAATGCTCAATCCTACATGCGGCTCATAGTTTTTTTCCACTCTATAACTTCATGTTCAATGGTCTTCTCTATACGTCATCTGTCAAATTGGAAATTGAATTGTAAATTGTCAAACCATACAAACGTCAAAACGTCAAACAATTGTTGAAACTTGCGAAAGATTACATGTTTTCGGGATCAATTTCGTGTAAAATACAGCAACCGTTTTTTTATTATATATTTTAAATTGTTTTAACACAAACAAAATAACACAAATGTAAAATGGGCCCTCCAAAAAGATTTAGTAGTAAAAGTGAAGGTAAGGCTTCAAAAAAACGCAAAAAAGAGGAAGATGACGCGTGGACTTATGAAGAAGAGGAAACCAACGACACTGAAGAAGCAGCTGTACCAGGGGCCGCAGCCCGTGATGCTGAGAAGAACGATCAAAGTATTCAAGAAGACGAATTTGGTGCCAAAGATTACCGTTCACAGATGATATTGAAACCTGACAATGTTTCACGGCCTCTTTGGGTGGCCCCCAATGGTCATATTTTCTTAGAATCGTATTCTCCAGTTTATAAACATGCACACGATTTTCTTATTGCTATTTCCGAACCTGTTTGTAGACCTGAACACATACACGAATATAAATTAACAGCTTATTCGTTATATGCAGCCGTAAGTGTAGGGCTTCAAACTAATGATATTATTGAATACTTGAAAAGATTAAGTAAAACAAGTGTGCCCGATGGGATTGTTGAATTTATAAAGTTGTGTACTTTGTCTTATGGTAAGGTTAAACTGGTTCTTAAGCATAACAAATATTTTGTTGAAAGTCCGTATCCTGAAATTTTGCAGAAGTTGCTAAAAGATCCTGTGATACAAGAGTGTCGTTTACGAAGGAATGTTGAAAATGAAAGCGAGGAACTTATTACGCAGGTATGTGTACAAATTTTAAATTAGTCGAGGAAAGATGATACTTATTATATACATATTTTGTTGAGTGAAAGGTTGTGTTTAGGTACAAGATAAGAAAAATGTTCCTACATTTGGTGCAAAACCTGGTACATCCACAGATCAGACCAATAATCCTGACGGTGCAACTATAGTACCAGACGATATAACAAATTTTTATGATAAAATGGACAACGAGGAAGATGAGGAGGACACTAATTTACAGACTGTATCTTTTGAGGTTAACCAAGAAAAGATAGAAGTTATACAAAAAAGGTGCATTGAATTAGAACACCCGCTTTTAGCAGAATATGACTTCAGGTAGTACACTTTTTTATAAAGTTTTATGACGAGTTCATATGGTACATTTTTTATTTTATAGAAATGATACCATAAATCCGGACATAAATGTAGACTTAAGGCCGTCCGCGGTTCTTAGGCCCTACCAAGAAAAGAGCCTCAGAAAAATGTTTGGAAATGGTAGAGCTAGATCTGGCGTAATTGTTTTACCTTGTGGAGCTGGAAAGTCTTTGGTGGGAGTTACCGCTTGTTGTACCGTTAGGAAAAGAGCTTTAGTTTTATGCAATTCTGGCGTGTCCGTCGAACAGTGGAAGCAGCAATTTAAAATGTGGTCAACTGCGGACGACAGTATGATCTGCAGATTTACATCTGAAGCAAAAGATAAACCGATGGTATGTACTATTATTAATTTTTCTCGGATATATGCAAAAATTTATCGTACCCTCGAAATTCTCTTTTAAGGGCTGTAGCGTCTTGGTAACAACTTACTCTATGATCACGCATACCCAACGTCGTTCTTGGGAAGCCGAACAAACAATGAAGTGGCTGAAGGAACAGGAATGGGGCATTATGGTATTAGACGAGGTACACACGATACCGGCAAAGATGTTCAGGAGGGTATTGACGATCGTTCAGTCCCACTGCAAATTGGGTCTAACAGCCACTTTACTTAGAGAGGATGACAAGATAGCCGATTTAAATTTCCTCATCGGCCCTAAATTGTACGAAGCGAATTGGTTAGAACTGCAAAAAAGAGGTAACAAACTTCTAAAAATTCACGTAATAATGTATAAACGTTTGATACTATTTTTATTTAGGTTATATTGCAAGAGTTCAGTGCGCCGAGGTATGGTGTCCCATGACCCCTGAATTTTACAGGGAATATCTAGTCTGTAAAACGAGCAAGAGTCTGTTGTTGTACGTGATGAATCCGAATAAGTTCCGAGCGACACAATATTTAATCCGGTACCATGAAAGGAGAGGAGACAAGACTATAGTGTTCTCTGATAATGTGTTTGCCCTAAAGCACTATGCCATTAAAATGAACAAACCTTACATCTATGGACCCACTTCGCAAGGCGAAAGGATACAGATCCTGCAGAATTTTAAGTTTAATCCAAAGGTAAGTAGGTTTTCTAATAATGTAGTGTTTACTTAAATTAGTGACGCAAGTTCTGCAAAGTTCGCACTCGTTCTCCGAGAATGTTCGAAAAATTTAGAGAATATTTCCCAAAAAAAATTTTTATTCGTTTATTAATGTGCATACCATTATCACACAAAATTTATCAATGAGGACACATAAACACTGTTCAATCGTTTCACCAAAAACCACTTTTTTTACTATAAAATAATTTAATATTGATAAGTTGAAATTAAAATAATAACTTATCTTCCAGGTAAACACCATTTTTGTAAGTAAAGTCGCCGACACATCCTTTGACTTGCCCGAAGCAAACGTCCTTATCCAGATATCCTCGCAGGGAGGCTCCAGGAGGCAGGAGGCCCAACGATTGGGTCGTATCCTCCGTGCCAAGAAAGGCGCCATTGCCGAAGAGTACAACGCCTTCTTTTACACGCTGGTATCGCAAGATACTATGGAGATGAATTACTCGAGAAAAAGGCAGCGGTTCTTGGTAAATCAGGGTTACAGCTACAAGGTTATTACTAAGCTGGCGGGTATGGACGAGGAGCCCGATCTGCTTTATAAAACGAGAGAAGAACAAGGGCAACTACTCCAGCAAGTAAGTGTATAAAAATTTTGTTCGGTTCGAGTTTTAATTCCGATTTCTAGGTGTTGGCCGCTAGCGACATCGATTGCGAAGACGAGCGTATACCGGGAGAAGGTGGGCTGAAAGGTGGTTCCGGCGCAAGCCGACGTATCGGAAATATGGGATCTATATCGGGCGCAGACGATGCAGTTTATTACGAATATAAAAAGCCTTCCTCACAAAACAAACATCCGCTATTCAAGAAATTCCGATACTAGTGAATTTTATAAAATTTGTATTGTGTGAAATAACTTAGTTTTTATGTTTAAAATGTTCAGTTGTTGTTAAAAATTACTTTAAATAAATAATACAATTTACAATCTCTTTCTTTTCGCTAACGATTTACCTCTCCATTATATATTGTTTATAAAATGGCAAAAAATATTGTAAGACCAATTGGATTCAGTTCAGGTGCAATAGTTTCCTTATGTCCAAAATTATAATGTCTACTTTGGAGATATAGAAAACGGTGGAGCATACAGGGTGGCTCGAATTTAAAAATGTGCCATTATGGCGTTATTAGAATGATTATACAGATTTCGATACTTAGATATTTTTTCGTTATTTGGGCATACAGGGTGTTCCGAAATTAATGCAACAAAATTTGGACATAGATTTTTAAAACAAATTTAGGGGACCCGTATTTTTTCTCTTTGCCAAGTGGCCCCCTCTTTCGGAGTTACAGCCCCCAGAAATCTGCCCCTAAAAATGTCTTTTGTATATCTCAAAACCATGTTGTACGAGAATCACTAAATTTGGTACACAGGGGTTTTATGACATGTGGAATCTGATAGTGCTACACTTTTTGGCGGGGAACCCCCTTTAGACAATTTTTGTGGGCCCCCTTGTGTTTGGAACCAAAAAAATTTTATCGCATATTTAAATTTCTTAAAAATTATTAGTTAGCTAGAAAACCATTGAATTTAGAAATTTTTTTGTCCCTTGCAATTTTTTTCGTAAAACGCAATGTTTTTTTAAGGAAAATGGCAAATCACGATATGCATTCGATCACATTTTGACATTTTTTCCAAAACATTGTGTTTCATGAAAAAAGTATGAAGCCACAAAAAAGTTTCTAAATTTAATGGCTTTCTAGCGGACTAATAATTTTTAAGAAATTTAAATATGCGACCAAATTTTTTTGGCTCCAAAGACAAGAGGGCCCACGAAAAACTATCTGAAGGGGGTTTCCCGCCAAAAAGCATAGCACTATCAGATTCTACATGTGATGAAGCCCCTGGTGTACTAAATTTAGTGATTCTCGTACAAGGTTCTGAGTTCTGAGATATAAAAAAAAGATAATTCTTAGAAGTGGATTTCAGGGGGCTGTAACTTCGAGAGAGGGACCCACTTGGCAAAAAAAAAATACAGGTCCCCTAAATTTGTCCTAAGAATCTTTGATTTTCGCCCGTTTTTTCTCAATTCGCGGATAATAAAAAAATACATAAAAATATGTTTTTGGTCGCAAATTACTTATCGTAGAAAACTGAAATGAGCATAGCTTTTAGTATTTTGAAAATTTAAAAAATCACCCCTACTTAGGGGTTGAAATAATGCCAAAAATGAAGAATTTGAATATTGCTAATTGATATAAAAACTATTAGCATGTGAATTATATAATTTTTTTTTTGAATTTTTACAATTAATTCTGATATTCTCTATTTTTGGGGATGATTCCACCCCCTGAGTGCGCTTAATAGTGGATTTTCTAATTCAACACGCTTATTTCAGTCATGAGAATAAATCAAGAATCATTCGGTAGAAAAATTCACATGCTAATAGTTTTGATATTTATTGGTAATATTCAATTTTTCATTGTAGGCGTCTTTTCAACCCCTAAATAGGGGTGATTTTTGAAAATTTTCAAAAAACTAAAAGCTATGCTCATCTTAATTTTTTACGATTAATTTGAGACCAAAAACATATTTTTTATCTATTCTCTGTGAATTGTGAAAAAAACGGGAGATTTTTGCGGTCACTCTCTTGTTACATTAATTTCGGGACACCCTGTAGTATATTGAGACAAATAATTTTTTTTTAATTAATTTTTCCCTAACGTTATCGGAGCTAGAGCAACGAGAACACATATTCATGGCAATTTTTTTTTTAATACCAAACCTGTATATCAAAAACTAAAAATATCTGTTTACACCATTTCAACGATGCAATTTTTCATAATTTGAACCGTCTGCATTTTTCCATTTTTCACCATTGTCGATATGCTATGGCAAAAATCCTTGGATATGCTGTTTAAATCAATCTAATTTTATATTAATGCGTTGTTTCAACTTTTTTTTTTATTTTCAGAGCAGGTGAGGGTTTATCTAACGAATGGGCGATAATAGAACTTCAAGGTGATCTAGAATCTCACTCCGAGTCGAGTTTGGAGGGTAAAATAATAGGCGATTTATATTTTACCAAGTCCGGAAGTCCCGTGCTCATCATAGGACACCACCTTTTGTACGGGAAGGAAACTAAATTGGAAAAACCGTTTGCGTTATTAGAGAAAAGGAAGACTGACAGTAGTACCGAGTACTTGGTAAAGTGCATCATAAAAAATAAAATTATATTTAAAACGAGGCCCAAACCTATTGTTGGAAAAGAATAAATATTTATAAAGTGATTTTAATCTTTAAAACTAAGTTGCACTTATGACTGAATGTTGGAATTTTGTACTGTGAAATTTATGAATTATTGTAAAATGTATTTCCTTCCATCTGCTCAAGTGTAAAAACAGTTTACGATAAATATTCTGAAATATATAAAAAATATAATAAAGGAAAAGCTGAATTGAAATGTTTTTTTATATTATTACTTTAAATGTATTTTAAGTCTCATAGTTAACAATAATGAACTTTTGCAGTGAGATATTTGCGGTCGGGCAAAATTAAATTTATAAAATTAACCTCTACTCTGATCCATTATTAGCGAGAGGTTATTTATTTAAAATTTCTATTTTCATTGTGGCAGAAATAACCAATGAAATAAAAAAAATGATGGTTAAGATTTATTATAAATAAAATAAATACAAGATTATAAAAATTTTATTTAACAAATTTAAATAACTATACATTTTTAACACAATTTCATGTTCCTTTTCATNAACAATAAAAATAAAGCCGAATTGAATTTCTTTTTTTTATATATTATTGTCCTTACATTACTTTAAATGTATATATTAAAAAAAAAATAAATTTGTCATATAGTCAGGGCGGGATTAACGAGGAGGCTGCAATTCTGGCCCTCATGAGATCCAGGGGCCTCGGCAAGATCTGGCAAAATTAATTTTAGCTTTTTTTTTAGAATCGAACAAGAACCTGTTTAGGTTTTGAAATTTAATATCACTTTAATTTTTTTTCTTGGAAAGGGCCCGCGTAGAGCTTGTAGCCCCGGGCCCCACCAGAGGTTAATTCGGCCTTGCTTATAGTGAACAATTATAGACTTTCACATTGAAACGTTTGTGGGCAAAATTAAATTTATAAAAGTAACTTCTACACTGACCCATTTAGTGAAAGGTTATTTCTTTAAAATTTCTATTTTCATTGTGGCGGAAACAACCAATAAAATAAAAGAGTGTCTAGGTATATATTAATAAAAAAAATTATGGTTGGTTAAGATTTATTATAAATAAAATAAATACAAGGTTTTAAATATTTTATTTAACAAATTTAAATAATTGTACATTTTTAACACAATTTCATGTTCCTTTTCATCTGGCTTTCTTAATGAAAATACCTATATTTCTTCCTTTTAAGTGAAGAAAATTGATTATTTTTCAAATTATTTGTATTCTTATTTGATAAATGTTTAAAACTGTTGGTTTGTTGTGCAACGTGTACCGCATTCTTCTGTACATTTTTCTTTTTGGGTTTTTTGAATTTCCGTTTATTACTCTTTACCCCACTAATTAAAGTGTTACTTTCCATTGCAGTTTTTATTAAAATAGGCTTGTCCTGTTTTATTTTTATTTGTGCACTATTTGTATCCAAATTTTGTACATTAGATTGAACTCTTCTAACTAGTTTATTTTCCTTTGGACTTTTTATTTTTGGCCATTCACTAATTGAGCTCTTACATTTTTTCACCTTTTCACATGAGCTTTCATCAACACCTTCCCATTTCCTTTTCCTATTACGATCATTTGCATACTCGGTTTGGATTTGTCTTGCATTTGCAACGTTTGACAAAACTTTACCATTTTGCTTTGTTTCCCTTTTCTTCGTTTTCAGAAAAGGATCCTTTACGATACTTTTAGATACATTTGTATCAACCTTATTTTTACTTGAAGAATTCAAATATCTTTTAATTGTGTTTCTGTCTCTTTTAGATTTCAATTTCTTCCTTTTTATCCTATTCTCATTCTGATTTTCTTGTAATGAAGATGAATCAGATATATTTATTACAGTTTCTTCATCATTTTTGGCTGTATTCTTATTCCTTTTAGAATTTGGGCCATTTTTCAGATTCTCTTTTTTAAGAGCTTTTTCTTGTTTATTGTTTAATTTACTCTGTTTCCTCAACTTATTTTTCAGATTTTTGGTTTTCGCAGCTTTTACATTTTCACTATTTCTTTTACAAATTACAGATAATTTTTGTCGTATTGCAGGTGTGTTATGCAAACTAACATCAGTTTCTAACATTGAACAATTTTCAGAAATGGTTTTAAAGTCATTATTCGGACTTGCCTTCTTAAGAGCTTTTTTTTGTTTTTTATATCTTTTATCTACTACTGCGGATAATTTTGGTAACCTTAGAGTTTCATTACTTAAACTCACAAAACCAGTTTGCAACAATGGAGTTTGTTGGGAAGTGGTTATAGAGTTACCATCCACTTTATTTTTACGAAGTTTTTCCTTTTTGTTTTTTTTACCTATTGGAGATGATTTTGGTAGCGTTACAGTATCATTACTTAAACTATGAAAATTGGTTTGTAACAATTGGTAATTTTTGGAATCGGGTATTATGTTTTTATTAAGAACTTTATTTTTAAGAACTCTTTCCTTTTTCTTTCTTTTACTTATTATAGACGGCTTTGGTAATGTTACAGCTTCATTACATAAACTAACAAACTCAGTTTGTAATAATGAAGATTTTCTAGAAGAGATGTGATCATTTTTCAAATTTTTCCTCCCTTTTTTAACCATTCCTTCATTTCGTTTGTTTCTTTTACTTTGTACCGGTGTGTTTGGCAGAGTTACGACTTCCCTCTCTAAATTAATAGAATTAGGGCGAGATTGTAACACATTCGATAAGGGGGTAGAACTAGCTGAAGGGTTCACATCAGAAAGAGAATTGTCAAATATATTTATAACCCGACTGTTATTAGGTGTGTTGACATCATTTTCACTGATTATTAAAGAACTATCATCAAGTTCAATAACCTCATTGATTTCGCTACAGTTTTCTTTTGAGTTAGATAAAGAATTATCTAAAATAATTATTTCGTTGATACTGCCTTTGTCCGATGTTTCAGAAAACGTATTTTCATTAAGTAAATGCAAACTGTCGTTAATTTCAATACTCCTACCAAAATTAAAATTATTTTCCTTAATTTCACTAATGCCTTCTCTTTGCGGAGCAATACTTTCTTCAAATAAACTATCATCAACTTCTATAACTTCACCGATGTCTTCATCCATGTCAAATCCTCTCATCTTCTGTATGCTTTCTTTGACATCAACTAGCTTGTTAAATTCATTACCAAGTTTCACATCATCGTCATCAATCATAATATATTCATCACAAAATTGAATATCATCATCATCGTTAACCAGATCAAAGAATTGTGTAATGCTTGGAATTTCAGACGCTTCAATAACTTGTAATTCATCGTCGACGTCTAACCAGTCCACATTCATCCACTTTTGAAGATCTGTTGGTAAAACGTAATTTTCAGGTAACCAATTACGTCCACTGTTTTTTAATTGACGTGAAAATGGTAACAGTTTATTATAAAATTCACAAATAAACTTAGCACCATATTTTGCAAGGATGTATATTCTTGACACCAGCGAGAATACTATGAATCCTATTTTCCAAAAGTGGCCGGTGTGTAACCTTCTATTAAATAAATAAGCGGTTATCTTGCATGTCTCAACAATTCTTTCTAAAAGCTTAACCATGCCTTGTAAACGTACAAGAATGTAATCTAATACACTTTTATTAGGTAAATACGTTTCATCTGTATATCTTGGTGGAATAAGATTCATGAAGTTTTTCAAATCCTTTGATATACAGATTTCAAAATAATTATCTAAAGCTTTACATATCTTCTCAAGAGCTTTAAAGTCTTTTGCACATCGGAATTTTTGTTTCATTCGGTATATAATTACTGACATGACTTTATATTCCGCTCTCATATAGTGCTCATTATCAAAGTGTTCTTTACCTTCACGGAATACTTTACTTAAGTGCTTTATATCTGGAAAAGAATAACGCTTTATATATCTCACTTTACTAAGGTAGGTTTTTTATACCTTACCTATTTTGGCGTCTTCTGCTTTATATGTGTTTATTGGAGGTATGGGTAGACTTTTAATGTTCCACAAATTCATTTTTATATCGCTTGAACACACACCTCACGTTGACAGTTATTTAAACTTTTAGGTTATGTTATTCAATTCTTCTTCTTCTCCTTTATTTTTATATTAAACTATTGGGCGTTTTCCATATTCTAATTGTGTATTCACGTTTAAGCCTCTGCAGTTTTTTTATAACTTATTTGATAATAAATAGATAGGTACTAATTTAAAATTAGAGAAGAATTTCATAATGTTGTATCAGGTTATGAATAAAATAGCGTCAAGGGGAGGCAGAAAGACGAGGATTGTTTAATGAATGATAAAGACACGTAATTTATGAGACCTTAGACATTTAGAGACATTGAGATAATATCCTTTCCAAATGTATAACGTATATCAGTTCTCTTAAGCATTTTTGAGAAAGTATGTTTACTAAATTAAATATTTTAAATTTTGTTTTTATTTTTCTTTTATATGTTATATAGCACCTTTCTTCTGATATTTATCATGTTGGTGTCGGTGTGGATAGAAAAATTATAACAAGGAAATGTTGGCAGGTTTATTTCCCCTTAGGAACTATTTTTAGATGTCTAGGTATGCAGATATTAATATTTCGCCGCCCCAGGAGACCCTATTTAACCTGTAATTTTACTGCTGCTGCTGTTTTATGTTCTGTATCGTTAAAATACAGTTAATTAAAAAAAACGGCTATTTAAAAATTTAATAAAGGAAATACAGTACTAAAAAGCGCTTCCCAGGTCTAAGAATATGCAAAAATAATAGGTTAGTAGTAACACTTACACGACAATCAGATTATTGATGTTCGTCCTGCGCATGTGCCGTGTTCGGGGGCTCGCAGGCATCGCGCAACCCCCGACGTCGTCCGTGGGGTAGTTTTCGTCGCGACGCCGTTTGACAGTGCCGCAACGTGTGGTCGAAATATGATATCTTAATGTAACTCTGTGTTTACACCAGTTTCTCGAGAAAAGTAAGTCACTCACAAACCATATTGTCGCTTTTTTACTATTTTTATACGTTAGTGGCGTAAAATGTCTTTTTGTAATTTAAATTTTATTGTGCCGGCTTTTAGGATAAATTCAACGTGTGTTGTTTTGGTACATGTGCTTAGATCTAGATTTAGTTTAGAATTTTTTATCGTTATTTTGATTTGGTAGCACGATCACGATATAGAAGTTTAATTTAGTTTTTTTTTGTTAATTACTAAAAAATTGTTTTATACGGTAAATCTATAATTAATATAAATTATTTGGGAATGTTGTATGCTGCAATAATATTATTAATAATAATTATTCAGCAGCAACACAAACCGGGTTTTGTAACACAACTTCGGATAAAACATAAATTTCGGGAAAGGTTAAAAGTTGTGGTCAATTTCATTTAGAAAAGGGTACATACGAGGGTGTAATTAATACGAGCCGGACAAACGAGTCGAACTGCGAATACCAGGTCAAAACAGTTTTTTTCGGGTTTTAATTTTTCTAGTAAAATCACGAAATTCAAATGTAAAATAATTACCTATACTCTAAGTATCACCACCTTAGATTAATTCTTGGATATGGAGTAAGATAGGATTATTAATTGCCAAACCAACTGTGTACGAAGTGTTAATCCATGTTCTAGACATAATAGGTCTGCTTTGAACTGAAAAGGTCATTGGGCGTATGATTTCTCGTAAGACTTCGCTAAGAAAGTCAAAGGAAAGGAAGGGAAGTGAAATGCGTTTACCAAAGCGTTGGGGCAAGAATAGATTAGAAAAGATACGTCTTGAAATATTTGTTTCATAAAAATTTTAACATTAAAGCTATCTGAAGGCAGTAGATTGCTTAAATGTACGAAATTTTATAAAAAAGTATCTCAGAAATAGAAGCTATTCACATGCCTAAATATAATTGATACAAAAACATATACTTGATATATTAAATATAACAATATCCTGCATTCTTGCTGTACTATACTATTATCACCCCTGTAGGCCAGAAAATATAGAGTTGGGCGCGACTTTTTGTTTCGGCAAGCTGAATTTATTACTGTAGATGCTAAATATTATGTACAATAACATATTAGTTTCCACAGTCATAAAAATGAGGGGAAGATTGTTTACAGGCTGGTTAATTCTATATTTTTTATAAACAAATTAACTAATTATTAGTCTGGACGATCCCGAACATCTTCCACAATCGCACCGACTTTTTTCATGGTAGATTTCATAATAATACATTGAAATCTATAATTTTTTTTAATTTCAAATTTGCAACCTGGATTTTTTTTATTTTTTTAGCCTTAGTTGCAAAATGAAATATTTAAAGCTTATGAAAAGAGCTTTAAGTTAAAAAAAAATCGTCACGATTCGTTGAAAAACAACGGAGTTACAGACTGTCAAAGTTGACGGCCTATTTTTTAACAAATTAGATTGGTAGCGGCAAAAAAATACTGTCATAACCGGCAACCCAAGTACTTTCCCAGATAAAAATATTTTATTTGTGGAAGTATGTTAAGTGCATAAGAAATATTGTTAAAAGTCAGAGGGTCGCTTGATTTTTCGACAAGCCGTGGCGCGGCGGAAGGGTGGTGGAACCGAACGACAGCGAGTCGAGAAACTGACGATAATATTCATAGTCCTGCCGTTAAAAAAGCGAAATTCGCTTGAAAATAATATATTTAACAGTCTGTAACTCCGTTGTTTTTCAACAAATCTTCAATCACAAACTGGAATTCCATTTTATAGAAGTCGAACGCACTAAAATTATGAAGCACCAAACTGAACGGGGCAAACGAAATTAATCACCGCAATAACAATGGAAGCCATCGTTTCAGGTAGAACATCCGGAGTATTTTTGGCAGTAATAATTTGATTTAGTTGATTAAGACACGCCAGATGCAAGAAGCCCTTTATCATTCGTAATGAACGGTCGGAACCGAACAACGGACCCTCCAGGTCCCGTTTTTCCCTGCGACCTAAACCGAAGTTCTTGCAGAGGTTTGATAACTTTATCGTAAGTAATGAAAGTTTTTACCTCAGACGGAATGAGCAACTTCAGGGGCTCCCCTTGCGCGCAGGGGGATACCACATATGAAATGATCTTTCACTTAATAAAAAAAAAGGACACATACATTTAAAATTCTCTAATTAGGCTGAAATAAAAATAATAAAATCGCTATCTTTAAAAATAACTAGGTATTTAAATTTGCCTCGGGAAGTATTTTTGCTTGATATCGTGAGTGTAATTCAATGCTAGACGGAGTTTTAACCAGCAGAGCAGTTGTTTTCTAATTAATGAATAGTTTGTCTTTGAAGTTGCTTTTTAGCATGCCGTATGTTGGTGTCAAACAGGGTTCATAGTTCAAAAGTAAGAAAGAATTCCCTGGCTTTTCCAGGTTTTCCCTGACTTATAAAAAAAAATCCAGGTCACTTGTAGTTCATTTTTATATACTAATTGGCGTTTATGCATTAAATTTTTTCTCAACTGGACTCCATAATCTTTTTTATACCCTAAGAACCTCTTATAAAGGTTTCAAAACGACAAATAGTTTTCTCTTTCAAGAACCCAGGGCCGGCTTTTACAAAATTTCCAATTGCAAACATCAAATTCCCTGACTTTCATGAATATTTTTAAAATTCCCTGACTATTCCCTGTCTTTTATGAAGAATAACGAATTCCCTGACTTTTCCCGGTATTCCCGGTTTTCCCGGCCACTACGAACCCTGTCAAAGGGCACATATGACCCTATCAGAGGAAAATTATAGGAAATTATTAGGACTTGATACGAATTAGCTATTTTTGTCAGAAAACAATAAACGAAATTGCGCCTATCTGACAAACAATTGATTTTACGTAGGAAAATTATCTGCAATTATGTACGGGGCGTTCCGAAATTAATTGGACATAGAACAACGACAAAATAATGTGATGTAACTAAACATACCTTGCAATTAGTCCAAACGTTGATGCTTAGTAAGATACAGAACACCCTGTATATGATGCACCCAATTCTTTGTTTCCGGATCAAGCATTTTTCTGCACGGCAGCACCACCTGTAAGAAGGTATATCAAATTATTTAATGTCTTCCGTTTATAGCTACTACAGATAAAAGTCACACCCTGTATATTTTCCTAAAAATATAAAAAAATTTTGGAAATACTTGGAAATATTAAATTTTCGTGACTGGAAACATACGTATATACCTACTGAATGTTTCAGCGTTCATTTACTTATAATTCAGTTAAACTATACAATTCTTTGGATAGTACCATCAAGGGCATCATGTCTGATGGATCGTTCAAAATACAGTTAAAACAAATGTATAATATTTGTTAGTTTAAAAAAAAGTCAATATTTGTTAGTTTGTTCATTATATTTTATTATTATGTATTATGTATTATTATTATCATTATTATTATTATCTTTATTATAAATAGCTAATGCAATGCAAAACACCGCCTTACTGTTAAAAATGTTGTCACCGCCGTTCTTGGTGGCGAAAATTCGAAATATTTGCAATTATTCAATTTTCGTTGCTGAAAACATACATAGGTATTCAATTTTCGCAACCGAGATGCACTAACCAATTTTTTTTAATATACATCTTTTATTTCCGAAAAACGTCATTGTTAAAAGTCACACCCTGTATATTTTTCTAAAAATATAAGAAAATAGACACCCCCTCTCGACCGAGTGAATAAACCGAACAAAAAGGCTCCGATAGAACTTCATCCAACTGCATCTTCCGGGGGTTTCCCACAACGTAAAAACAAAGGTCGTATCTAGGCCTACCGGATAGGGCTATAATCAAAATCCGATACATCAACGTCAGCCATGCATCTTGTAATTAAAGGGTGATATCCAGAGGCAATAACATGGCAGTGTAACGTACCATACATTTAATCTCAATAACAACTATCACGCCGAGCGTGAATATTGTAATTTAACTCAGAATTCGATCATTCGAGGTAACACGAGATATCCCAGGCAATATCCAGGGGCAATGTATATCTTAAACCAAAAGAATCGGAGAGCGATCGTATCAGATATTTAGGTTCTA